TACCATCAATTCTTGTAAAGATTGGTATAACAATGAACAATAGAAATCTACTACCATCAATTCTTGTAAAGATTGGTATAACAATGAACAATAGAAATCTACTACCATCAATTCTTGTAAAGATTGGTATAACAATGAACAATAGAAATGTCAGTGAGGTTGGCAAGGAGAACAATGTTAGTAACATGGTAGCGTTCATGATGACCAGTAGTTCTGATCCTTTCACCGTCTCCAACTTTGGGAACTGGATCCACATGTTTTAGTTCTTTAGTTTTAGTGAGGTCTTACGGAGCTCAACTGCCTAGGTCATATGAGCGCCAAGGGGTGGATGTCAAAAGAGATGTCCAAACGGGGAATCAGGCTTACTCTGCTCACCTCTCTAGCTTCGACACCACAAAGTCTGCTTCGACCATCAAGGCACTCCGGAAATAGCAGGTCACAAGAGTGACAAACACAAAAGAAGTAGAGGAAAAATGAGGATACCGGTAGTAAGGATTAGGAAAGAAAAAGCAGCAGTTCCCTATTGTAGTTTCAGGCACAGTCATGTTAAATTTTATGAGCATGACATTGTTGGATCAGCCCATTTACAATTCTACTGTGCATCAGAACAGGTTCATCAATGTCCCCCCTTTGGGAATGGCCTAAAGACATTTCAGTCAGTTGAGTCAGTGAGTAGCACCGCCCCGGCGGGGGGGGGGCATGGGTAGCGGTTTCTATCACCACAGATCTGTGTTCTGAACACTGAATGCACCCAGATAGTTTTCCCTAGAGAAATTGTTGCCCCTTTGATTGTAGGAGGAAATGACTGGTGTAATCACCACATCTGTCCACAAATGTCAACTTTTGTTAGACTTTATAAATACTGCCATATTCCTTCTTTCCATGAATGATAAAGGTCACTGGGACAATGATGATGATGATGATGATGATGATGATGATGATGATGATGATGATGATGATGATGATGATGATGATGATGAAGTCATGTATAATGGCAACAGTGTAACAATGACGATAATGATGATAGCAGTGGTGAAGAGGATGAATAAGATACTAATGAATACATTGATGATAGCAATGATAAAAAACATTACCATCAAATACGTACACGTCAGAAACGTTCACATTTTAGAGAGTGAAAGTATAAGTTACTGAGAAACTGACTGCTCAGTGCAAGTTCCCGTGAGACTGACGTAAATGTACTTATTTATACTGTAACTGTAACAATACCTGCATGAACAGATGGCATCATGTGCTTGTTTATAACAATAACTGCATGAACAGATGGCATCATGTGCTTGTTTATAACAACTGCATGAACAGGTGGCATCATGTGCTTGTTTATAACAATAACTGCATGAACAGATGGCATCATGTGCTTGTTTATAACAATAACTGCATGAACAGATGGCATCATGTGCTTGTTTATAACAATAACTGCATGAACAGATGGCATCATGTGCTTGTTTATAACAATAACTGCATGAACAGATGGCATCATGTGCTTGTTTATAACAATAACTGCATGAACAGATGGCATCATGTGCTTGTTTATAACAATAACTGCATGAACAGATGGCATCATGTGCTTTCAAGCCTAGAAAGATGTAGGCAATACAAGAGCACAAGAATTAAAGAAGGCAGCAGTATAGGACTGATGGGATGACTGATGGGATGACTGATGGGAAGACTGATGGGAGGACTGATGGGATGACTGATGGGATGACTGATGGGAGGACTGATGGGAGGACTGATGGGGTGACTGATGGGAGGACTGATGGGATGACTGATGGGATGACTGATGATGTAGCGGGGTATGTTACTGTGAGCAACCAGCCCCCAGATTAAGACCATCAATTTTCTTTTAAGTTTAGCACAGGACTGAAATGACGGACAAACAATTTTGGCAGTCTCTTAACTCTTAACAGGAACGGTGAAAAGCTTCCCACTCCATCGTTGTTCTCCAACTCAAATTATCCAGAGGCTACTGGAGATAGGCTGTGAACAGCTCACAGGTTGAGAGTCGGTGCACTGTGTGTGGTGCACTGAGTTGGTGCACTGTGTGTGGTGCACTGCGTATTGGTGCACTGAGTTGGTGCATTGGGTGTGGTGCACTATGTATGGTGCACTGAGTTGGTGCACTGTGTGTGGTGCACTGAGTGTGGTGCACAGAGTTGGTGCACTGTATGTGATGCACTGAGTTGGTGCACTGTGTGTTGGTGCACTGTATGTGGCGCACTGCGTGTGGTGCACTGAGTTAGTGCACTGTGTGTGGTGCACTGAGTTGGTGCACTGTGTGTGGTGCACAGAGTTGGTGCACGGTGTGTGGTGCACTGGGTTGGTGCAATGTGTGTTTGTGCAGTGTGTGGTGCACTGTGTGTGGTGCACTGTGTGTGGTGCACAGAGTTGGTGCACTGTGTGTTGGTGCACTGAGTGTTGGTGTGTTGGGGTGCACTGTGTGTCGGTGCATTGTGTTGGTGCACTGTGTGTCGGTGCACTGTGTGTCGGTGTGTGTTGGTGCACTGTGTGTCGGTGTGTGTCGGTGCACTGTGTGTCGGTGTGTTTTGGTGCACTGTGTGTCGGTGTGTGTTGGTGCACTGTGTGTCGGTGTGTTTTGGTGCACTGTGTGTCGGTGCACTGTGTGTCAGTGCACTGCGTGTTGGTGTGCTGTGTGTCGGTGCTGTGTGTGTCGGTGCACTGTGTGTCGGTGTGTGTTGGTGCACTGTGTGTTGGTGCACTGTGTGTCAGTGTGTGTTGGTGCACTGAGTGTGGTGCACTGTGTATTGGTGCACTGTGTATTGGTGCACTGTGTGTTGGTGCACTGAGTGTCGGTGCACTGTGTGTCGGTGCACTGATACATGGTACAATGTGGAGGTCAACTACATCTGGCCCAATAGACTTGCCTGTTTCATGACACTAAGGATATCTTTCAGCCAACAATATCAAACCAAGTTTTGATGTCTTAACAACTCTAGAGACGGAGAGAAGCGCACGGAGCAGGCTACAGCTGGTCCAGGCCAGTGTCGTGAGGTGAGCCGTCAGTGGTGAGAGCACGGGCCAGGGACTGAGTGACCAGTGGGCAGCTGTTCTCCTCACTCATCAGCAGCAGGAAGGAGAGGTCGAGGGACAGAGAGGGGGCGGCGGCGCGGGTCAGAGGGCTCCGACACGTGCCCGCCACCAGGCGTGATGTCCAAGTGACAGCCCGGAGGACGTTGACCCCTAGCAGGACAACCAGGTACGCCAGCACAGCCGTCAGCAGAGCCTGGTAGCCCAACAGGACGTCGGTGGGTGTGTCGGGGTCGGAGGTCATCTGGGTCACCGCTCCCAACACACGAGTCTCGAGGCTGTGGCTGTACAGACACTGCACGGTGTAGCGCTCCACATTTTGTAGATGGACGATGCTGAAGTCGCAGGTCAGGAGCAAGTTGTCCTCGTAGAGGGAGGTGTTGGGAGTGTTGTGGTTCCTGTCCTTGAGCTGCGTCAGTCGTGGGAGCAGCACACAGCTCACCACCACCAGCTGGCCCAGCGCCACCAAACACAGCAGCAGCTTCAAGCCCAGATACGACAAGGCCACCCCACGACACGACCTGGCCGCTCTAGCCGCAGCCAAACAGAGGTCAGAGTTCAGCTGTCGCTGACTGTCGGTGTCCAGAGTGGAGCCCCGGCTGGCTGTGTCCAGTGTCTGGTCAACGTTGATGCTTCCACAGCTGGACATGACCCGCCAGCAGACGTGAGGCAGCCTCAGGCACACAGCAAACAGGAACAAGACCACAGGCACCACGGTGCCCACAAACAAATACGTCTCCTCTCTCACGTCTTCCTGCTCAGCTTGGCCCGTCCTCATGGCCAGTGGCCGGTACAGTTTCGGCCGCTCACTCGAGCCAGACTGACCCCAGGTGTCCATCAGGTCCACCCCCAGGACGCCCGGGTTCTCCTGCCTCATGGCCGTGTTGAGACGGCCGGCGCACAACTTGTTGGTGTAGCTCTCCTGGGCCGCGGAGAAGTGGGCGGGGGTCCAGCAGGTGGCCTTGTACCTAGGCGGCCCCGGGGACTGGGTGGTCAACTGGCTGACCACAGGACCAAAGGGGAGGAGCCAGGCCACGACAGCCAGCGAGAGAAGCAGGAGCGCTGACCAGGTGTGGTTGTACCCGTCGGCAAAATCCTCGGACAGAGATCGGCGCGACACCGCCATGACAGATGTGGGGAGACCGTCAGGTCTGAGGAGAGAGGTCATTGTTTGACAAGGGGAAATTGTCTGTGCTCTGAGGAGAGAGGTCATTGTTTGACAAGGGGAAATTGTCTGTGCTCTGAGGGGACAGGTCATTGTTTGACAGGGGGAAATTGTCTGTGCTCTGAGGGGACAGGTCATTGTTTGACAGGGGGAAATTGTCTGTGCTCTGAGGGGACAGGTCATTGTTTGACAGGGGGAAATTGTCTCTGCAGCCTACACAGCTTGCTATACACACGCCGAGATGCCTTGACAACCGGATACCTGGATTTGGCCAGACTGCCCCTCACGCCCCACAAAGAGAGCGATGGACAGAGATTTTACTGACACATAGGTCTAGGCCTGGTCGGGTTATAAGTTGGGGGGGAGGGGAGGCGGGGTTGAAATGTCTTCGACTGGTCACTCGAAATGCGTGTTTGAGAGAAGGTTTCAGACTGGCGTTTGAGTGACTGCATACGTAAAGTTAGGCCTATGATGCATGTAGGCAGAAACTACCCTGCCACACCCCACACATTCGCAGAAAGGAAAAAGAAAAAAAGATCTTCCAAATGGCAGTCTGTACTTCACACTCAGGGCCGCCCACAAACCAACATGATATGTTTCAGTCATCAAACACGAGAATATTAAATGCAACGTAAACAACAAAAGGGTGCGTGGGGGGGAGGAGGTTGTGTTATTGCTGGCAAAAACGAAAGAAACCTTTGGAACTACAGAATGTGCCACAAGACGTTGAGCCCAATTGTGTGTCACGACCCACCATGACACATACCATGACACACACCCATCGTAGCTAACTGTGTCACAACACACACGGTACACCGTGACACATGGCACACACGGTAGGCCTACACCATGACACAAAGCACACACGGTACACCATGACACATGACACACACGGTACACCATGACACATGACACACCCCCACCACAACACACCATGACACATGACACACACCCACCACAACACACCATGACACACACCCACCATGACACATGACACACACGGTACACCATGACACACACCCACCACAACACACACGATACACCATGACACATGACACACACGGTACATCATGACACATGACACACACCCACCACAACACACCATGACACATGACACACACAGTACACCATGACACATACCCACCACAACACACCATGACACATGACACACACGGTACACCATGACACATGACACACACGGTACACCATGACACATGACACACACGGTACACCATGACACATGACACACACCCACCGTAGCTAACTGTGTCACTACACGACACGCATCCACTGTAGTTAACTGTGTCATCGTACTGGGTGTCTAAAAAAAAAAGGACCCACTTCCCCCCTTCAATGCCGCAGGTGTATATTTATAGGCCCCTGTGCCGGGGGAAGTCCCAAGAACCAAGGCGGCTCACAGGTGACCCCAACTCTACATCCCAGAACTTTTTTATTCATGAATATTTTACTCCTGGATTTCTGTATGTTACATTCTACATTGAACCACGTTTCTATTTATATAATTTTAGGGGGATTTCATAGAGAGATAGATGGAGAAAAGTTTGAGTTAGTAACCATAGTAACATGATGCCAAAACAGCATCACCAAACAACATAAAACAACACACATTCGAGTAATGATAAACTGAGACCACAAACAGGGGAATACGTGATGTGTGAGAGTCTGCAGGTAAAGACGAAGTGACGAGAGGAAGTGACAAGAGGCTTTTGCTACCTGATACAATGCTCGTACAATCCAGATTTATATTGTAAACAGTCAAACCTGTGTAAGACGGCCACCCATTGTCAAGGAGAAAATTGGCCTTATAAGACAGGTGGCCGTCTTAGGCAGGACTGATCAAGACGAAGAAAACAAACCATTCCTTTCTGAGGTCCCAATCGAAAGTAGCCGCATTGTTGTTGTTTTTGTTGTAGTTGGTTTGTATTTCGTTTGTTATTTTTATTTTGTGGCTGATTTTGCACAAGGGTGACAATAAAACGAAATGTATCAGACGAGGAAGACCGAGTGCTATGTTAAAACAAACACATGGGTCGCCACCACTCGACCCGGAGAACGAGCGATGCTTCTGTAACAAGTTCATGTTGACGTCCTTTGTTACTTTGTTACAGACTGGGTAAACAGTGACCACTCATCTCACTTACGATTTGTGTATGAGTTCTGGGCGGGGCTTATGATTTATGAGGGATCACACCCTTACCTCACCAGCAGCTGGAAATTGTGAGGTGTGCAGACAAAATGAGTTACTTCTCCGATTTTAGCCTTTTATGGAAATTGATACATCAACTTTATAGGTGAAGTTTGTACAATTTGTAAGTATGGAATGATGAAAGACACGGTAGACTTGAACAAAAATGGCATCAATTAGATATCTATAAATCTGACCGCAGTGTCGATTTTGGGCCGATATCTCCATTCTTGGTCAACGAGAAGTAACTCATTTTGTCAGCACACCTCACAATTGGTACCTATTGGTCAACAGTGGGAGGGGCCTACGCAACATGATCTGTTGGATGGACAACAACGACAGGTGGTTGAATTATGATGGCTCGCCCACAACGCCAGGGGCCAATGCACAATTTATGACAAAACGTAATGGAGTCACTAAGTTGGCCGTCTAAGACAGGTGTTATTGCTTAGTGTGATAGGGGTTGTGAGTTAAAACACCAAATGCTGTACACCTTGTAAAAGTTCAGCTTTTCCTTGTAACAAAGGTGTAAGTTGTTTATAATATATGTCCGATTATTAGGAGCCGGAGAACTGCTAGAAGCAAAGTGTTCGGCCAGTTCAATAATTGACACGTGTGCATTCAAATGCTTCACTGAAAGATTGATGATTAATTACAGTCTTTTCATTGGCGGAGAACTGTAGAGCTTTATTTCCTGTGCTATATTTTTAGCCTTTGGCGTTTAAATAGAAAACCTTTAAAATACCGTTAAAATTTTTAGATTATTTTTTACATGAGTAGAATACCAGCTCAAAAAAGGTACCGATAGAAAGATAATTTCATTTCCTATATAAGAATAAAGTAATCTGCTAGAAATTATTTCGCATTTAATAAATCCTTCTGCGAAACTCGGAAAGCATGTGACCCCCCCATGCAGCGAGCACGCGGTACAGCAGTATAGAGTCGACTCGCTCGCCGCAGGTGCTGATGCGGCGCCAGCTGGGTCAACGCTAGGTGGTTTTGTCGAAATAACGACAGATCATCGTGTTTGCAGCGATTCACTACAGATTTGTAATGATCTCACAGTCTTGACAAAATTAGGCTCCATATATATGTTATAGTGATTGTACTCTGTTAAAGTTGCAGCCAGTGAGTGACTTTAACAAATTTGATCAAATTTTAAACGACTGAAGTTTTCTTTAAAATGGACGGAGAGGTTAATGAATGGTTCCAAAATGCTAAGGGGACACGCCTTTCATATGGAACAGATAAATTTGGCATACACAGCTACTTAGAAAATTTAGTTTCTGGTAACAAGATCTAGAATCTAGAATCTAGATCTATGTCACGTCTCTGCAAATTTTTCGAAAAATCAAATTCATGCCAATTTTTTTTAAATCATAAAAATTAAAGTATTAGAATCTAGACTTAGAGAACTTAAACTTTTTGTATTAGATTTTAAAGCTTAAAAGTAACTTTAGGGCATCAAAAAAAATTTACAATTCTGAGAGTTGTGGTGGTCTTTTGAAATATACCCCCCCAAAATGCCAGTACTTTACTTTAGATCTAGATCTAAAATCTAGACTCTATATATATATCTAGAATAGATCTAACTGCCGAATTAATTCAATATAATCAGGGCAGCTTACAAAATAACCAAACAAAAGTTACATTGTCCATTCTTTTAAAAATCTCAAGAGCAGATGCAGAAAGACGCAAACTATTTTTAGGTAAGGCACCCATCTTGTCAGACCAGCCACATGGCACCAAAGATGGAAGTGTCTATTGTTTGATCTACACCTTTCTCTCGGAAGTTCTGATGGCTGAATAGACAGCGTGTCTGCGTTTGAAGTCGTCGTGCAATGATTTTTGGAGCGGTTCGATCCCGGTCCCAGACAGTTGTTTTTTCTTTTCTCCTCCTCCCGACTGACTAACAGTCGCATAAATTATAGGCCTAATTTGTAGAGCTGCTTTGAAGTCGTTAAAAAAAATATATTAGTGATTAAAAATGCAGGAAAAGGGGGGAGGGGTGGTAGATCTAGATATCTAGATCGAGTCATCTAGATTTAGATCTAATCCTCCAGCGTCTTTACGGCAATTTTCGTGCAGTTTATGTCTTTGTGTTTACCGTGTTTCAATTTCAAGCAAATCAGCGTTCTTAATCTTACTGAGCATCAACGATCTAGATCTAGCTAGATTCTAGATCTAGGAAATCCGAAATGTTACCGAAAACACGTCGTTCCATGTGGGTATCCGAGGAAGAGATGACATCACAGTACTAAAATTAGCAGCCAATCAGAAAGATGCGTCTTTTCTACGTTTTTAGCGGCATGTAGAAATGGGTGCTACGAGTGCTACGAGTATAAATGATAGGGGGG